GCCTCGAACACAAGTCCACCCAAAACGATGGAGGAGGAAAATATACCCCACGATAGGGGCACCTGGGTTTCATCTGTATCGCGAATACCTCGCCGGAACCTCTGAAATAAAGGCAGGGAACTCTGAATACTTGGATCTCGCATTGCGGGATGCAGCCAGGGAAACCCCACTCTAAACCGCAGCCCCTGAACGCAACGGTGACCAATGCCTCATCCGGCTCGTCTTCGCGGCATCGCACAGAGAATGGCCGGTAGTGTTGATTAATATCGGCGTCTTAGTAATTAGAATAGGCTTTTGGGGGCCTTTTATAATATAAGTATACTATCATAAGGAACCCTGGGAATAATAATGGCAATTATTGAAACCCCTATAGTAGGGATTATCGGGTCTTGGGTTCAAGGATGCCTCGAGTGGGTTTGGGCTACGAACTCTATTGTTGCAAGGATTTCAGGGTTGAGAGGTTTGGAGTTTACACGACTTAGGGGTTTTCAATAGCTTTCTATTCAAATTTCTAGAGTTGGTGTTGCTAGTCCCTACAAAAGGCGATTTTTAGCCCCTTCACACGCGCGGCCCTCCGAGATACTGGCGCATTTGGCGTCAGCGTTGCTTTGCGAGGGTCCGGCTGTGAGCTGAGCCAGAAGCCCGGCAGCATCTGAGTCTGCAGACAACGACTACGCGCAAAGTCATATTATAAAAAACATAAACATGTCATGTGTATATGTATCTAAAGGTATATACATATTTTTACATACGTAAGTGCAACCCGTGTACAAACAACTCTGATAAATGATACAACCCCCGATACAAAGGAACCTTAAATAAACACTTCTGACCTAATCCCACCGTTTATAACCAGCAACATGTCCCTCATAGAACCCTTATGAACAATACTTAGAACCCTCACAAAACCATTAAAACCATCCTCTTGAATCATTTCTTCTCTCGCCTTCCGTAAGACCACTAAACCGACTAAACCTCTCAACTCTAAACCCTGAGGCCACCAATCCTCGGCTTTTTCGGGTCGAACCGAGCCCTGCTGCGTTGCAGAAGCAGCTCTGCCGGTAAAAGTCCGGAATCCTTGGATCATACAGGGTGCCTGAAACAATAGAACCGGGTCCCCTTTGACGGGTTACTATAAGAGCTACTACGGTTACTGCAAGGCCGCAGACATGCTTTGTGGTGTTCCTTAGAATAGGCTTGTAATTTGATAAGGTAATCATTCAGGCGCTCATGCTATCTCGTCCTTCTTTCGATATACTCCTCAAGGGATCTACACGGGTTCTGGAAAGCCTCTTCTTTATTCGGGTTCTGTACAGGTTTTTTTAAGCTCCTCTTCTACGAAAGCCCGAAGGTCTTCGAGAGGCGCAAGCGCCAGGACAGCAAAGCTCTTGTCGGCTTCAGAGTTAACAGGGTTTAAAGCTCAGGGTTTTGTGTTTAAGATGTATACGGTGTAGGGTTTGGGGCTTACATTTTGGGGTATGGGGTCTACGGTTTAGCTTCATTGACATCATCTTCGTTCTACTCGAGGTTGCTGTAAGGGTTCGTCAAAAAGGTTTCTGTTCAAGGTGCTGCCAACACCCCCTTGTAAACAAAAAACACCATGAAACCCTAAACCCTAAAACCCTGGAACCCTAAACACTGGAACTCGGGAGCACGAACCCAAAGGCTCCATGTACCTTTATAGTAGACACTTAAGCCTTAAAGGGGTCCCCATAGAGGTACTTTAAGGCCTAAGTATATACTATATGGGTACATGGAGCCTTATAAGGGAATAGCAACTGAGGATCCTGCTTCTTCCCCCATGCTGTGACTTCCAAGCCGAAGCGCAGGGCGTTCTTGGACTCTCCTGCTGCCTCGTCGGGTTCAGAGTTTAGGGTGTAGTGTGCTGAAGGCCCAAGATATTTTAGGGTCAAGGGCGCGGGGTTTGGTGGGCTCTAGGGTTTCATTGAATTTAGGGTTCAGGGTTTGCCGCATCCAGTTTACTGTGGCATATAATGTAAATGCTTTATTTATGGGGTCTGGGAGTCCAGTTTTGGGATGATAACCGTCCGCAGTATCCACACGAGGAAGCCTCACGAGCCCGTGTTTGGGTAGTTTTAAATGAGACTGTTAACATAAGCCAGGATTGTCTTCATCAGCAGTTCCCTAGTCCACAAATACTGAAACACAAAGCCTACATCGAGCTTGCATCCCAACTGTCACACACTCTATCAAATCCCAATTTCTGGACCTCAACCCCGAACCCGAAACCCTAAACCCAAACCCTAAACCCTCGCTTAGGCCCGAGGTTCCTTCTTCAACCCGTATAAACCCTAACCCCGAAATCCTAAAAACCCTGAATCCTAAACCCTAAACCCTAAACCCTAAATCCTAAACCCCGAAATCCTAAAAACCCTGAATCCTTAACCCTAGACTCCCTAAGTCCGCGCCCAGGGCTCATCTCGGTTCAGGTCCAGCTTTTTGGGATGTTTTAAGCTATACAAAACGAAACCCGCAAACCCCAAACCGGAAACCCTAAACCCCTAAACCCTGAAACCCTAAACCCTGAACCCCTAAACCCTATGGATGTATGCTTCAGGCTATTAAACCCTGAACCCCTAAACCCTTAACCCCTAAACCCTAAAACCCAAAACCCTAAAACCCTAAGCTTTAAAACCCTAAACCCTTAAACCCTAAACCCTAAAACCCTAAACCCTTAAACCCTAAACCCCTAAACCCTAAAACCCTAAACCCTTAAACCCAAAGCTTTAAGGATGCTTCAAGTTTAAGACTCAAGGCTTCCGGGTCCCCTGCAGCCAGCCTCCACGCTGACGGTGCCAAGCGGGTTGCATCCACCTCTTCTTGCCCAACTCCCGAATTAAGGCTTATAGGGTTTAGGGTTTAGGGGTCCTATATAAGTACCTACATATCACCCTAAACCCTAAACCCTAATTAAGGTTTATAGGGTTTAGGGTTTAGGGGTCCTACATATCACCACATAGGGGTTCATCAGTATGCTGTCCGATGACTGTGGTTCTTTCAAACAATACAACCCGTAAGCCCGTAAACCTTTAAGCTGGAACCTTTAAGTTCTACATCCGTAAACCTTTAGCCCTAAGGCTCCATGTACCCATATAGCATATACTTAGGCCTTAAAGTACCTATATGGGGACCCCTTTAAGGCTTAAGTGTCTACTATAAAGGTACATGGAGCCTTTGGGTAGCCTAAACCCTCCAACCTTAATGACTTAAACCCCGACGTAAAAGCGTAGAAGGCTTCTACACGGGCAGCTCAGACGAGCTTACAAATGATGGGCCGGCTTTATCCGTACTATTCTTCTTGGTCCTCTTGGTTCCTTAAGCCCTGGTATGCTTATGTTATACCAAGATATACGCCCAAAAACCCATTCAATTTTCTAAGGCCCTGGCTGACTCCTGAATTCTGAACCCAGACTCCCTGCAGGATCCAGAAAGTCCCCTCATTTGGGGCCCTATACTTCTAAGGGTACATCACAGGAACCCCCAAATTAAGGGATCTACTTTCTGGATCCTCCCGGGGTTTGGGAAGTTTTTCTGGCTTTACGACGGAGACTTGGGAGTTGGAAGATTGTGGCTTCGGGGCTTCTTCTTGCTTAAGTCCCGCTAAGTCTTGGATGCTTGCTGGTGTTGCCACACGATTTAAAGGTGTAGGGTTTGAGCATTTAGGAAAGCCCTTCACCCTAAATCCTAAGATCCTAAACTGGACCTAAACCGGAAAAGGTTTAGCAGATGCACGGGCACATGGGGCTTCGACCCAAACGATGACACCCGTAGCGGCTCTGAAATTACAGTCTTAAGCCCTCTGGCTTGGCTTTACTTGAAACTTACGATCTACTGCTTCGACATCCGATTGCAATGTAGCGTCCCTCTCAGTCTTAGCTCATCGGATCGGAACCATCGTTTTTCAACCCGCGCGGAGCTGGAAGGGAATCTTAAACACGTCACAACGACGTAGAAAATCGGATCAGATCCATCGGTTGCGCACTGGAGTTCCTTCGTGCGGAAGCCATTTGAGCGGAGCTGGAAGGGAAATAAAGACCCAGACCTTCCAAAATCCCTTAATTAAGGAATATACCTTAAATCATATTAAGGATCCTACTATAATTTAAGGTATATTCCTTAATTAAGGGATTTTGGAAGGTCTGGGATCAGGCACAAGAAAAGCCTGACAGAAAAGCTTGTCATCCCCCTAGTTCCTTTGTGCTTGCCACCGTTCGAGCGAAGCTGGAAGTCACAACGACGTCTGGCAAAAAGAGAGGATGCATGTGTGGCTTATCCTTTTCGGTCTTTCTGCACTTACCTGCTTATCTATATGATATATGATATATAACATATATATATATATACTTATATAGTTATATATATTATATTTATATACATATATATATATGTATATATTCATCTACTAATGCACAAAATGCCCTGTGCGCAGCGCTCATCTCCCTCCTTGTGTACCTTCTGATAAATCGATGATTCTGGCTAGTTGTGGTCCGAATAGGTACACATGCACGCCCAGACCCCCGAGAGGATCCAAAAAGTAGATCCCTTAATGGGGGCTCCTGTAAAGTACCCTTAGTAGTAAGGGCCCAAAATTAGGGGATCTACTTTCTAGATCTTCCCGGGGTCTGGGTACACATGCACGGATCTGTGTGGCCATAAGATTGCCGCGATCTCGCTACATATACATGTCCGTTCCTAAAGATACAAACCTGTCTATGAGGTAAGTATTCGCCGCTTAGTGTCCGGTTGTCTCGTTCCAGGTATCCGTCCCTAACTCCGCATTTTTGCATTGGTTGACAACCCACGTGTAGTCTCTATAGCAGTCTGTGTTGAATTTCACACATGCCCTCATATCTGAGGAGCCTGCAGCCTTCTTGCGGCTCCAAGCAAAACTGGCCCCAAGCACCATGGCAGAACTGGGTTGTAGCAGAGTGGGGATGAAGACTGAGTCCAGACGCCCCGCACATCTGAGCCCCTCAGTTTCAGACGGCCTGGCACGAGAAGAAATCCGAAATTCTGGTTTCAGGCTTGGGATTGGAGTTTAGGGTTTAGGGTTTAGGGTTCGAAGGGTTGGAGTTTGGAGTTTAGGGCTTAGGGGTTGGAAAGTTGGGGCTTGGGGCGTATTTCATGGCTCACGCGGTGGTGATGCTCGTGTGGCAGACTTCTAATTCTAAAGCATTGGGGCTGAAGGGTCTCGGGGCTGCAGGGCTTAGACCAGACTCCCAGATCACTCCCACGACCTCGCAACGAAGATTTCAGGATCCTGAGCCCGAATGTAGGGGTCGGTTTAACTATATATATATATATATATATATATAGTAATGATAGTATCCCCTAGTATCGTGTAGCACTGTAGCATAACAGGCACCCCCCACGATCTATTCAACTGATGACGGCCCGTACATTCGGACCCCGATACCCTGCGAAATGCCACAGCTACAAGGCCTGCCGGATGAAGACGTTGAGCCCTTGATCGAGGTTTCCCGGTATGCCAGCAGTACACCGTCCCGGTTTGTTGTTCCTGAGGCAGCTTGTGTAGGTCGTTCTATGTGATGACAGTTAACGTGGTGTGTCTTGAGCTATGCTCTCAAGGACTACTGACAAAAGTGCCGCTGACTCAACAGCCAACTGAAGTCCCGCCGAGGTGCCCTACGTAGAGCGCGTTGCAATGTCTGACGGGGCCCCAAGTTTGATCCCAATGATCACTCCACGTAATCCAGGGGTCTTCAGGAAACCCCAAGCGTCGATACATCCTAGCTTGGTAAGGCACGGCGGAATTGAAGGACTTCAGGACCGTGCGCAACCCATTGTCGTAATATGAACCGATCACTTCGTCCTTGCTCATGATCATCCAGTACTGGCAATCGCCCGTTGCAAAGAGGAACTCGTTAAAGACCTCGTTGCCGCTGCCGGCATCCCACCTAGTAGAAAAGGCCGGCCCCAGTGGGTCGCTGTGGCTGGAGCCGGACACATCCGTCCCAGTGAGTTGGTCGGTGTTGGGGAAGCTGCCGTTCAAGGAGCGTCGCACGAGCTGCCAGTCTCTGCCGACCTCGTCCGGATCGCAAGTTGAGGCGTGCTGAATGACCTGACAGCCAAAAGCTATGGATTGAATTGATGTAAAGTCGAAAGTATGCGGCACGTAATCTCCAGACGCCGGCCCCTCTTTGCTGTTACCCACACTCGCAAATTCTACCCGTGCCGCACAGACAATGCAAAATATTGAGAAGGATACAGCGATGGAGAGACAGAGAGAGAGACTGGGAGAGAAAGAAAGAAACATGTAGCAGAGAGCAGGTGGAATGAGCGAAAGACACAATTAGCGAGATACCGCTAGAAAAAGATCACACACGTAAAGCAGAGAGAGACAGAGACTGACAGAGAAAGATGGAAAGAGCGTCCAAAAGAGAGCGAGAGAGTAAGTAAGGGACGGCGACAGAGAGAGAATGAGAAAAGAACGAGCAACAGACATAGCATAAATGACATACACAAGAACGTATAGACAGAGAGAGAGAGGGAGAGAGAGAGAGAGAGAGAGAGCAGAGAGAGAAAGAAGACATAACGACAAAGACAGAGATGCAGAGAGAGAGAGAGAGAGAGGAAGAGAGCGAGAGAGAGGGATGGATGGATGGAGCTAGGCTATCATCCTTATAGACTCTTAAACCCTAAGGCCTAACTGAGGGCTGAAGGGGTTGCCCTAATGGTTGACGTGTTCAGAAACCGTCGGGTGTCTGTAAGGCTTGCAGTTAGTTAGAGGGCTGAGGCTGTGGGGCCTACTTTGTCAACTCACGCTGTGGTGATCCTCCTCTTGGTAAAGCCTTAAGGCATTGGGGTGTAAGCTATGGAGGTCACCCCAATACAGAGCAACAACAACAACAAGTACTACTGCTGCTGCTGCTACTGCTGCCACTACTACTACTACTACTGCTACTACTACTACTCCTGCTGCTACTACTACTACTCCTGCTGCTACTACTACTACTTCTACTACCTACTGCTACTACTACTACGACTACCACTACTACTACTACTACTACTACTACTACTACTACTACTACTACTACTACTACTACAATTACTACCACTACTGCTACTAGTAGTAGTAGTAGTAGTAGTAGTAGTAGTAGTAGTAGTAGTAGTAGTAGTACTAGTAGTAGTAGTAGTAGTAGTAGTAGTAGTAGTAGTAGTAGTAGTGGTACTGGTACTGGTACTGGTACTAGTACTAGTACTAGTAGTAGTACTAGTACTACTACTACTACTACTACTACTGCTGCTGCTGCTACTGCTACTGCTACTGCTTCTGCCGCCACCACCACCACCACGACGACCACTACTACCACTACCACTACCACTACCACTACCACTACCACTACCACTACCACTACCACTACCACTACCACTACCACTACCACTACCACTACCACTCTACCACTACCACTACTACTACTACTACTACTACTACTACTACTACCACTACTACTATAACTAATACTACTACTACTACTACTACTACTACTACTACTCCTACTACTACTACGCTAGACTGATCCTCCTCCTCTTAAGGTTTCGGCTCTATCCCTTCCGGAAATCCGACGAAATGCACTCTCGGAGAGGATGTCGCCTTCTCGCCCTAGCAAAGCAAGGCCGCAATCCCCTTGCCCCACCTCGCAGTCGGGGGCAGGCAGGTCGGTCAAATTCATCACTTCCTCGTTGCTATACTGACCGGGTGTTGACCAGTCAGAGGCGCGGAGCACGCCACTGACATATCTTCGGACGTAGTACCGTTGACTATAGACGACAACTGCGCGGCTCCATTCATCCACAATGATGACATTGGACATGATCTTGGCGGCATAAAAGAAAAGACTGATGTCCAGCAAGAGATCGGCTGCGATGGTCGTAAATTGCAGGAACACGTTCTCATCCACCTGCCTGACAATGTTAAAGGAGGCTCCTGCATCCAACGTCTGCGATGGGAGTGCGGCAGTATGTATTGTACCCAAATTATCGGTCACCGCCACGCTGTATACGCTCAAATCTTGGACGGGCTTCAACGCGGTCAGCTGCACCATTGCAAACCTTGGTTCCAATGATTCTACGATCTTCTACGGGAACTCTGCAAATTCCTCATCTCATGCCCCAAACCCTAAGGCCCGAAGCCCAAACTCCACAAAACCCGGAGACAGCTCTCGCTGCCAAGCGTCGCCCCATTGTTGAAAGTCACAGAACCGGCAAGGGTAATGATGAGCTCCGAACTGCCGTCGCTGATGTTCAAGCAGCGTGGAAAGAAGACCTGCCGGCAGGGTCGAAGGTTTCCGACGATACGTGGTCTCTGAAGCAAGGCTGGGCATCGTAAAACTGCGCCTTGTTTCTTATATACGACGGCCCTGCATTCATGGAGCTTCTTGAAAACTTTCAGGAAGTTGGTTGGAAAATTTCGGGAGTGGCAAATTTTGGGAGTGCAGCTGGACATGCAATGTTTCTACGGGATAAACAAATCGTCTACTATACAGCTCACAACGAACCAGGCACGATTGGATGTAATGCTGGAGGCTAAAGATCTTCCAACTTCTTGTAAACTTCGTGGGAACCAGTCAACCCGAAAGCGTAGTTCTCGTCAACCCTATAATCTACCACACCTTGTATACCCTATAGTATAGACCTTGAACAGCAAACCCTAAACCCCAAACTCCCAAACACTTGAAATGCTGCACCCTGAACTCTCGACCCCTGATGAAACACAATACTCATCAGTCAAAACACAGCTGACAACCCAACAAAACATCCACAAAGCAAACCTCGCCAGCAGAGACACCCACGAAGCACCCCATATCGCGACACGCACCGGTGGAACTTGGCACGCCGCGCCGCACCCCGTATCGCGAGCCGCCGGGTGGCCGCCCGGCAGTTCAGCTACAGCAAGCTCCAAAAGCTGTGGATTATGTGGCAAGGCTGCTAAGGAGGATTACGGTGACATATTTGGACGGAAAAAAGAGCAATGTTTAAAGCTTATTATGTGCAGTGGGTGCCGATGTTCCAACCTTCTGGGGTGTACTGTATACTGCCTTACTCATCGGTCATGGCCTGCCGCAATGAGCTTTCAAGGCTGCTAAACGATGTGGGTAGTTTTCTAAACTAGCGTCCCTGTTCGGGTCGTCTTTATGAGGGTGAACTCTCATAGCAAATGTGCCTGCATCGTGGTCGTCGTCGTCGTTGGCGCCTACAGGGATCCAAAGTTCGCTTTAGCCAGACACAGAGAGAGGCAGAGAGAGAGACAGAGAGAAAGAGAGAGGAGAAAGAGAAAGAGAAAGAGAAAGCGAAAAGATAAAAGAGAAAGAGAAAGAGAAAGAGAAGGATAAAGGGAAAGAGAAAGAAAGAGCGAGAGAGAGGGAGAGAGAGAGAGAGAGAGCGCGAGAGAAAGAGAGCTTGAAATAAAGCGAGCCGGAAGGCCACATGACGTAGGGGTGCTTGAGGATTCTATCTTGTCTCGACAGTCCTACATGTCGCTTCAACTGCCACGACCAGTCTTCCCACTTCTCCAGCTCTCCGTGGTACACTGCTGGCGGGAACAGTTTGATCTCACTGCCAATCCCTCTGGTTCTGAACTCCAATCCCTCAGCCGAAGCTCTGCTACCATGCAAAATTCAACAGTACAATCCTAGGGTACCAAGCAACCAACATCAATCACTTTCCCCACAGTCACACTGAAGCACACATTCCTTTGTGACGTCACGCCAATCTGTCCAGTCCTGAGACAATGCCATTCGGCATCGTAGCATTCATAAATGCATCATGACCATTAAGTGCATGCTTGGGCTCGTGTCATTTGACAGACAGACAGAGAGAGAGAGAGAGAGAGAGAGAGAGAGAGAGCAGAAGAGCGAGAGAAACGGAGAGAGGGAGGGAGAGAGAGAGAAAGCGAGGGAGAGAGAGAGAGAGAGAGAGCGAGAGCGAGAGAGAGAGAGAGAGAAAGAGAGAGAGAGAGAGTGAGCGAGAGAGAGAGAGAGAAAGAATCAGAGAGAGAGAGCGAGAAACAGAAAAAGAACCGGAGATAATGAAAGAGTGAGGGACCTGAGCGACGGGCTTAATTAGTTTAGGATTGTGAGATCTGTGCCGCCGTTGAAGTCTGGCATACGAGGCGCTAGAAGCTGCAATGCCCATACATTGCGCTTGCTTCTTGGCGATGCACGGACTTCACGAAACCTTCCAACTAAAACACATAGCACATAGTGTCCGGGCCTCCATCGTCGTGGATAGGGCCTCCCATGGTCTTTTTGATTCTTTGGGGAGGGAGCTAAGTGGGCGAAAGATGCAACAAGAGGGGGGGTAAGAAAGAGATATACATACCCCAGCCCTGCAACAAACCGCCCAAGTCCGTGCCTGGGATGTGTTGGTCCCATCTGTTTCGGCCTCCGGGGCATTCGTTCGCTCTCGCTCTCAGCGTTAGCCTCTTGACTCCTTCGCTTGTTGGGATTCGCATCAGTTGAACCATCAAACCGGTATTAATTCCTTATAGCCATATATAATCCCGAAACACAACGTGCAAACCTTGTAAAGACTGGGGTCTTCATCGCGGAGGGGCTCAGCCCCTTTTACTTCTTCACACGCTAGGATGCGCGTCGGACGTCCCATCTGCGACCATCAAAACGATGTTAACTCCTTGAGAACGGAGATGAAAGGTTCTATCAGGTGTCCATAAGCGTGTGATAGGGCTTCATCAGGGTTCTGTAGGAGTGCCAGAAGGGTTGTTTAGTGGGGTGCTGCTGCGGTTCCTTTTGAATTGAGTTCTTCAAGGTTCTGCAACTTTGTCCTACTTGGGTTGGCTCCAGAGAACGTTACGGTATTGTTAAGGGAGGAAGGGCAAGAGAGAGAGAGAGAGAGAACAACAAAAAGGGAAAGAGATGCAGGGAGACAGAGTCAAAAAAGAGAGAGAGAGGGAGAGGGAACGAGAGAGACGACGATTGCGAGCTTTCAGACATCGCAAAATCAGCATCCTGGTTGCGACTACGCAATGTACAGGAACCCATATTGAGTTCAAAACTACCAAAACCTGGAACCCCATAGAAGCAGCTAAACTCATGGGCCCGGTATTCCCGAGAGTCGAGCTTGAACTTGGCTTCAACCCCTGAACACTTGATTCAAACGTAGTTAACAGTCCTCGACCCTAAGCTTCTACCGAAACCTCTGAACCAGAACCCTAAACTGATGGAACCCTGGAGGACCCTCGGAAAACCCCCACAACACCCTGAAACTGCAACCCCCCAACCACGAAGCCACAAAGGCCCAAATCCTAAGCCCTAAACCCCTGAAGCCCTAAACCCCCTAAGCCACAAAGGCCCAAACCCAAAATTCCTGAATCCCTAAACCTCCTTAACCCGCAGCCGGCCTTCGAGTAATATCCGGATCGGCCCTGGCAAGCAGCGATCTTTTGAGAGCTAACCCCGTAAAGGGTCCCAGATGCTGTTACGGGGGAGACTTCCCCAAATCATAATATAGTAATTATTTTTCCGTAATATAGAAACTCCACATTATGCCATATAGGTACTTAGGACCCTTTGGGACCCGAAACCGTGAAGGGTCGTTGTGACGTCTGCTCGCCACAATCGGCACACAACAGGTACCCTCGGCTCGAACTACGGAGGGTGAGCGTTTAGAGGTTAGGGCTTAGGGTGCAGGGCGTGTAGGATTGTAGGCATATCCTAGACCAGGAATCTCCTCCCGAAGCCGTTACCCCCCCCCCCCCTCCCCAACTCTGCTGAAGCTGGGAGAGCCGACTAAGCTGCCCCCTCCCCGGTCACCCCCGTGGTCTTGTGCACTCAGTTTCTTCTGGTTCCCAGAGGGTCCATGTACTAGGCATTTGGGGCCCCCCAAATATACACTGTTAAGCCTAGTTTGCAGTTTGTAATTTATCTAAATGAAAACCAACACCCAAGCCTCAGCTATGGAGATGCAGAGGGACATGTTGCACCTCAACATGCATAAACCCTGAACCCCGAAGTTACTAAGTAGACCCATGGGAATACCTCGTAATCACTTGCTGTCCCAAACCTGTATCGCTGGAACCTCAACTCCTGTAGTTCCATGTATACGCCATATAGAACCCTTCTTGATTCAGGTGCGGGGTTCAGAGACCGAGTTTCTTTTACAGCATTCTCAAAACAGGCGCAGAGACCCTATAAACCCTAAGTCCTGAACCCGCCCGTCGATCCTAAACCCCACATATACCCTCAAAACATTAAGACTCAGCGGACCCGGAAATCCCCCTGCATCGAACAACAGGCCTGCGGGAAGTGCCTCCGCCAGCCCTTAGCAAGGGTGCTGCACGTCGGAACTCGGGGTTTTGCAAAAAAAACCTCCGGATGCACTCTCAACAGACCAAAAACAAATTGGTGCCATCCATCCATGTACGTCCTAAACCCCGAATCCTAAAAACCCTAAACCGTAGTTGAACTCTTACACCCCCAGACGCCGCGCCCTCGGATTCAACACATCAACTCAGGCGACCGGAACCCATATGGCAATGTCGGAAGTTAGGGGTACCTCAATCTGTGGTCCTGATAATAAGGATCCTACTATTTCAGGCACTTGTACTAGGGTCCCCTATTTTCAGAAACTCCCATGAATAATTGTGCTATACACCCTTAAAGCGATCCTTGAGAATCCAGTCGGAGCCCGACGAATGAGTTAGGATGTTAGCGGGTTTCAAGTTCTGGCCCTTGGGCTTAACGCTTAGGGCTTAGAGTTTGTAGGTTTGGGCTCAGTTTTGCAAGTTTCGAAGGTTTTGGGGCTGATGGCCAAGACCCTAGCTTGTAAACTTTGGGCTGTCCGGAATTTCGGGGTTAAGGGGTGTAGCAGCGTCGAAGTTTAAGATGAGTCGATATCGATCTTCATGTCTGGCAGTCAGAGCTGCTGCATGACTCAGACATCGGCGATTCGCTTCGGGCTTTGGTCAGGCACAGTTGCAACTAAGCTTTGAGTTCTACTTCCCAACCTAGATCCTAAACCCGCGTAGATGTTGTGATTTGATCGCCGAGAAGCGGACTCATGAGTTACTGCGCTGTGTGTTTGCCAAGAAATTCTCCGATGGGTGGGTGGTGGGTGGTTGGGGTGTAGAGCTTCAAAAAGGAGCTTTAACAATTAGAATAAGGTTTCGGGGCCCATTTTACTCTATAGTACTCTATTGTGATAATAAGGAGCCCCACAATAGCATAGGTAATTATTTAGACCCCTATATTAGGGCATTCAGGGCTCAGGGTTGAGTGCTTTCTGGAAGCCCGAAGTTGCAGAATCATCATCCTCAGGCCACTAAGGTGAAGTGTGGGGACCCGCAGCACGAACAGTCCTTGCATAACCCTAAACCCCTAAACCCCTATACCCTAAACCCTGTGTTTAGGGGTGTACTGGTCCCTTTCCGGCGTTTATAGCCTTGAAGGATTATAAGGTTTGCGGTTTGGGTCTTGAGGGCTTCTCAGGCTACAGAAATCTGGAGACGAACCGGGTCAGCTAAATGAACCTATAACCTGACCGCAGCTGTACTTCAACCCAACGGGAAGTAGGATTTAGGGTCCTGGGTTTAAACTGTCTTTAGTGTCTAGCAAGGTCATGACTGGGTTGAACATATACAGCTATGACTCAGGCTAGAAACACTACACCGCAAATCCCCAGACCCTGAACCCGCAAAGCACAACCTTTAAGCTGCACTTGAGCCCAGTGAACCCGGAACCAGAGCAAGGGCCGGCTGCCTCCTGCAGAAACAGCGGCGAAGATTTTGGGGAGCTTCTTGAACTCAGGTGTGCCAACTTTCAAAATCTATGGCAAGCTTACTACGAAGAAACACAGCGCACATGTATAGTAATCGACGAGATGCTCTGGACGTTCGCGATAGCTACAAAGAGGCCGAGCAGCGATGTCAAGCCAAGAACGAATAAGACTTTCCGCTGCATGACACAACCTCAACCCGGAAATAGTGCCACCGATCATCAGACTGATCCGACCAGCAAGCATGCATATTTTTCATACCAGCCCAGCCGCAACTGTGCTATCGGTCAGCTGCAAACGTCAGTGCTCTAATTTCGATACGGCGCATAGACAATTTGCAAAACAAACAACGCAAACAGTACCATCAGTCATGAACTCTTGATTAACACTGCACTCCAGACCCTAAAACCGTAATCTCCAAACCCTACAGCGCGAACAAAACAAACAACAAAGCTAAACCCTACACCCTGCACACCCGCAACCAGACTCTGCTGTAACTAAGGATTGTGAAACTTAGTGTTTTTGGAGCTTCTTTTAGCTAATTCGGACTTTCGGGCTCAAGGCCTCGGCCGAGACTCTCTAAATCCTGGGCCCTGAATCCTAAGCCCTGCAGTCCGGACTTGAGCACGAGGAACGCATTCGAATCGACCTCATCCTCGAGGCACCTGTCGAATGTTGAAGGTCTAAGGGGCGTAACAGAACGAACTCAACCCTATTGGAACCCTTACAGCAGCCCTCATGGGGCCCAAAAGATCACGGAGGTGTCTGAAACTGTGGTGGCTTCCTTCTTTGTCGGAGGGTCCTTGTACCCGCAGCTTGGTGTCATCCACACATAGGGCCATAAGGTACTCATATCCCAATGTCCTGGCATGTAGTGTTATGTGCTTTTCTCAATCAGCCTTGAAAGAACGCAAGCCCTGAAATTCCCGCATAGGGTTCCCCAACAGACTTTCATGGACAACGCAAGCTAATCTAGGAGCCATGTACTATAATTTCCAAGCTTTCTGTCTGAAGCTAGAGATCACCTCATACATCCCCGACCTACCCGAACCCTGGGCTTGAGCCCTCCACGCCTCCTAAAAGATGCCAGGGAATCCAAACACATTTAAGCGTTTCGGACGTCAGGCTTCACAACTAAAACCTGTAAGGTATGGGCTTCAAGACTTAGAATAGGGTTTGGGATCCTTTATAGTTCAAAAATTGGGGCCTTCGAGGGTTGAAGGCTCTGTCAGTTGTGCCTGTGGCTTGAGATTTGAGGGTTACCGTGCTTAAGGGTTTAGGGTTTAGGGCTTAGGGTGCCGTGCTATCTCTTCAAAGCATAAGCCCAAACGGTACTTTGACTCACACGATGTCCCACTTCATTGCCGAACTATGCCGAACTAATGCCAGCACCTTTTGCAAAGCTCGAGATTCGGCGTCTACAGTCGCTGATAGGATGTGAAAATGACTGAACTTTAATGCCCGTCGTGCGACTCTACTGCTATGATATATAAATGCTAGTTCAATCAATCTGTGCCCACAGAGTCACCCTGTGCCTGCTCAAAGGTCTGAGTGAAGTTTATGTTTGGGGCCCGGAAGCCCACAAACCCGACCTGGATCAAAGTATGTAGAATAATAGCCTTTTATAGGCATTGGGCCATTATTTTACCTACTTTGGCGGGGTTAGGTACATATACTCCAAGATACTCCAAGCCCCTGGGATTCCCGTACTGTTGACTTTTATGTACGGGCCTGGTGATAATCCTGATCCAACTGGCTGGCTTCTAGGATGGACCCAGGATGCACGGGTTCAACCTAGACCCTTCACCCTTGTCGGGCTTCGGGCAATTTTGCGGTTTGGGCCCCAGTGGGTGAGTTCGTGCTGCGGTTCGAGGATGCAGGGCGACGGTGATTCGGGGTTGCAATTTCGGGTGGAAGGTATGGTTTAGAGTCACGGGCGCTTACGGGTTGAGATTTTAGTCGATGGGGCCTGGACGCTAAAAGAATTAGGGAATCTGCCTTCCGTCGCATGTGGTCTCCGACGCCGACACGGCCACTGCAGCGAGGAGAAGAAGATATGCCCATCGGCGCATGGCGCCACACATATCTGTGCGAGAGCAATTTAATCACAAATACTGTTCGGGGTACAACCTTGAGCCGTATTGAAATCAGAAGCAAACGTCTAGGCATGGTCAAAAGAAGCATTTCTAACCGAGAACCACACAACCAGCAAAAGCAACAGCTGCCGCAACTGCAGCAAAACTCCCGGTGACGATGATGTTGGCACATCCAACACTAGCTGCCCTAGCCCTAAACGCAAACCCAAATTTTCAAAACCCCAAACCATGCGGGCTGCGACGGCTCGAACCCACGACCCTGAGTGCTGGTACAGTGGTTCTTAAATCTCAGGGCTTTGGGTGTAGGGTTTAGGGTATGTGGGATAGAACTGACTGAGAATAACAACCTGCATAACTACAGATCTATATTCCATACAATGTACCGATAAATCGGTGTGTATATATATATATGTATATATATATATATATACATATGTATATATATATATATATATATGTACTTGTATATGCGTGCATAGGCATGTGTCTGCTCCTTCGCATATGTATATATATATATATATAGAGAGAGAGAGAAGTAGGGTATACTGCACATTGTACATTGTATATTGTATACATTATTGCATGTTGTATTGCATTCTGTACATTGTAATTTTGCGTGTTTACAAGAATACGTAGCTTGTACCAGCACAAGCGAAGACAAACTGTACACCAGAGATCACCAGAGTACTCTCTCTCTGTACCTTAAACCAGATATGTCATGTTTCACCGTCTGCACTGCCACACACTGCTCCGTACAATTCAAGAGCTCCCCAACCTTGTAAAGCCGCAGACCTACATCTCCGTACTAGTGCAAGTAAGTACCATAAAAGCCCAACTTGGGATCCCACAAAACACCACACCCCCACCCCCATATGGCAAGCCCTTCTAACACCCGACAAGAACAACACAACGCCCCTACAAAATGCTCGACTTCCCTTTCAAACGCCTCTTAGTCCCTGAACACTGACCCCATTAAACTTCCGTACACCAGAAGCCCTGAATTCTGAACTTTCCCCTCGCCCTCTTCCATCGCGCACCTTGCTCCAGAAGTCAAGGGGCTGGTAGATTCGGTAGCAGTGCCTAAGGACAAAAGAAACTGGAACATCCCAAAACTCTTCATGAAAAGATACTGGATAACCGTTCAGGGTTCAGGTGTACTCCCAGAGTTCAGAGTTGAAGGGGTTCTTAGAGAGAGAGACAGAGAGAGAGAGAGAGAGAGAGAGAGAGAGAGAGAGAGAGAGAGAGAGAGAGAGAGCGAGGGAGGGAGCGAGAGAGGGAGGGAGGGAGAGAGCGAGACAGAGCGAGAGAGAGAGAGAGAGATGTATACATATATATATATATACACACATGCATACATGCTTGCTCAGTATGGCTGAGGATGTGAAGTTCTTATTCCAAGACTTTGAACAGCAGGTTTATCAGAAGATCAAGCCACACGTTGAACACGACATGCCGTTTATGACCCAACTAGAAAAACAAAAACGAAAGCATCCAAACCGGCGCACCTCCACCTCTTGGAGGATCGTTAGAGGAGGCCAAGGAAAACGTAGCCGTGAAGTTGCAGTTGATGGAGACAGTCCCTGCCTGCGCCAGGTCGGCCAAAAAAAGTCACATGGGAGTTTCCGAAGATAGGGGACGCTAATACAGTACGTACCCTAAATTGTAGGATCCTCACAATATAAGGAACCTAAACTAAGGTATCGCTAATTTTCGGAATCTCGAACATATGGAGCCGGGCCAACTGAAGCCCTAAACACCCCAAAGTCTCCAATCAGGGTTTATGTGGTCAGAACTTGAGGCGTTAGCGATTTCAGATTTGCTCAGCCCTCACAAGGATTCGCAGAGGCTGCTACAAGGCTTTAGTGGTGGTGCAGCAGGTTTAGACATTTCGAATGGTTTAGGGTTCACGGAGAAGGTTAGAGTTTGGAGTTTCGAAGAGGGACACTTTCACTCGAGATTGTCGGTCACCTGTCTCTAAGGTGTGGGGTCCAAGATCCACGGTTCCTGCCTGTTGTCACATGTCGTTTCCGAGGAGACCATGGCGTAAGCAACTCCGAGGAAAGCAAGGCACTCGGGGCTTCGCCACATTGCGAGCAACCATGTGCAAGGGTAATACTCTTCTACAGCTGTTCGGAAGCAAGACCTCAAGCCAGATAAGAAGAAGCGCAGCAAGATCAGCAATGTCGGAATCACAGTCACCTGGCACGTGCACGTATGCACATGAGCATCGACTTATGCATATAATTAACAAGCAGAAGACAAAAGAATCGCTAGCTGAGACCACTCTTGAGTAACCTCAAAGATTTCCTTCCAACGTATCGAAACCCCTAAGATCAACAACTTCCGAAAGCAAGCATCCGGAAGTTCACCTCATCGTACCTGCTAGAAGACCGCAGCTTGGTTTCGCCAGGTGAGCCTTCTGAGGGGCGACAAGCATGGGGTGCTGCTGGGGTCGGGGGAGGCAGAACATCAGCTTGGGTGTCGTAAAGAAACTTGATTTTAAACTTGGATAGGGACCCAAAAAAGCACATAAGCAAAAACATGGTTAGGGATATCCCATATAAACCCCCTTGTAGTAAAGCCCGAGAAGGTGAGATATTCCTAAACAATGCTTATGCTTATGTGCTTTTGGGGACCCTAATTCAACCAAATAACCATAAAGACAAGCGAAGACTGCGCTTCCTTACGCATGCTAGCTTCAACAAGGCGAACAGAAACCAATCGGCTCCCATGATTCGTATCAGTGCTCTGCTGCACTCCACGGATTGAAACTGAGGATGAAAGATTCAGAGTTTACGGTTTAGGCTTCACTTTGGAGACCCGCAAGCAGCAGCAGTCTCAACACAACGAACCCTAAAATGGGCTTGAGCCTTCTGGCGCCACAGTGTGCCTATACACCAGAAACACTGTTCAGAATCAATTGATGCAAAGTCTAGCCAGTTTTGCCTAAGTCCCGACATCCCCAGATGGTCCCTGAAAATCGGTGTCTGCAACATCTTACCATAATACGGATCTATGTCAGGAAATACATATTGTTTCCTTATATGGTAACTTCATTCAAGCTGCTGAACAAGACCTCAGTAAAGCTCGGGAGTCCCAAGCGCAGCCGCGCCTCTTCGTGAAGTCCGTAGCTCAGAAGCATCGCGACGACAGTCAGGCAGCCTTGTTAGGGTTTAGGGCTTCGGGTTTGGGGAATGGGGTTTAGGGTGTTTAGGGTGTGGGGCCAAGTTATAACGTATTTCATCAAGGGGATTCCTTAACAAGTATATAGAACAGGATCTGGGGCTCCTTTTCAGTAGAGATATAAGAAGGCACCCTCAAGAGTTGTATAGGTAAGATTCCTATATCAGGGGTGAGGCCAACGTTGATGCTACTCCTAAGGTCCTCAGTGGCTATGTTAATTGAAAGAAAATAAGACTTGTCTATTGCGAATCACTATTGATGGCTGCTAGCATCCGCCCATAAAGGTATTACTTAGGATCCTTTGAGAAGCCTAAATCCTTTACGAACCCTGGGCCATCTGGAGCCCTCTGCCCTGAGCCGGTTGGGTCCTACCCGTCATTCGAGTGTAGGGTTTAGGTTTTGGTGCAAACCCAAAACTCTGTTGAGCCGTAACCCCTTTCCGAAGCCTACACAAGCAGCTGACAAGGAGAAGCTGAACAACCCATAAACCCTAAACCCCACACCTTAAATCCTAACTCCTAATTAAACCCTAAACCCGAAATCCCTAAACCCCTAAACCCCAAATCATATACCCAAAACCAAGGAGCAAATGAGATCAGCCGGCTCCAAACTGCATCTTCGAGATTCTGTAAGACCTGCGAAGCATCTTGCCACCTGCAGAACCAGGATCAGGTAGGGGGTACCTGGACCCCAAAACTATGTAGAATAATAGCCTTTTATAGGTTTTGGGCCATTATTTAACCTACTCTTGGGGGTCCAGGTAGGGGTTATTAAGGGGTTAAGGGGTTTAGGGTCTAGTTGGTGTCATTTGGCCTGGAGTGCGAGTTGAAATCACTGAAAGAAAGCACCAAACGGAACATACCTGATTAGTTTTTAGAGTCTTCAATGTTTGTGTAGTCAAGCATGGAAACCTCCTGCCTAGGACACAGATCGCTGACACAGATCGCTGCAGCAGTGGGATTTCGTACATTTCTTCGGGCAGGCACGAAGCACAAACCATTGTAGTTGAAACCCGAGGCCCTAGCCCTTATATTCCTAAGCCCTAAACTTGGAAGTCCAAAAAAAACAAACCCTGAAGCCGTAATTGAACCCTACACGCTACTGCCCTGAACCCTAAACCCTAGACCCTAAACCCCTAAACCCCTAAACCCCTAAACCCTAAACCCTAAACCCTAAAGCCCTGAACCCTACAGAAGCGACCTTGGCAGAATGCAAAGCCACACAGCCCGGCCTGAAAGTACAGGTAAACCATGAGGTATAATTACACCCGTACAACCACACTGGGAGCCCTTAAAGGGACACGGACCTTTTGAGGTGAGGTCGAAAAAGAGCTTTAGGGGTTCGTAACTTAAAGGGGTCTCGATTCAAGGACTCTCTATGAGGGTTCTAGGAAGGATTCCACAGCGGAGTTCTTGAGGGTGTATACTAGTTTTTATGGAATACGGGTTTAGAGCTGTGTGATTTGTGCAAGGTATTGGGGGTTCTACCAATGCTATAGTCTGACAATAACAACCCTTCAGAAACAAAGCAGGCACCCGAATCTCGAAATGAATCCCGAGTGCTCCCATAAGGCTTAAGCTGCAAGCCATGAACCTGCCGACACCTTCCAAACCCATCCAAACCCTCACATAGGTGCCCGTATATTTCGAAATACTCCGCATACGCTCATAGAAAAGTAGGGTAATAAGCTAAGTTTAAAAGTCTGTTGTAATAGTCGCAGCCACAGAATGGTTCTACAAAAACCCAATCAGCCCCGTCCTTGATGCCGGTAACAAACCTATGAGCAATCCTGTGAAAGCCCTTAAAACGCAATACACGGGGCCTCCCCGTTTTCTCACAGATCGTCAGCGCTGCGCTGTAACTGACCACAGAGGGCTCCAGCTCGTTCAACTCTACCTCCGGGGGTGCTAGCACCATTTGAAGGATCTCTTATTACTAGTATTACCCTTATGGATCCATTATTAAAGATCCATTATAGTAACCCTGCAGATCCCTTAAAGGATCCTTTAGAGCGAGCATCTATACATACAGTCGGCCACAACATCTGGTCTGCACAAAGCCCCAAGCTAGCTCGGGCTTGGAAGAGGGCTGTCGTAACCCTCATAGATCCCTTCAAGGGTCCCTAGGGTCCCTAAGAGCACCCAAAGATAGCTGAAGGATCCCATTTTTGCAGATTCCCGAAGTGCTTCGGGCTCGGTTCAGGGCTTATAAAGGGCTACCCTGATTCAGGGGGGTTCAGAACCCAAAACAAACCTTACCACCCAAAGCATGAGCCTCTGAAAGAAGCTGCAAAGCCCTCTGCCACACGAATGCTCTGCCACAGCTGGCTATCAGCGAGTTGAGCCTCACTCAACCAGCACAGGCAGCACAGGTTTGGTTAGATATCGGGATTGAGGATTTAGGGTGCAGGGCAAGACAACAACAAACAACAAACACCACCCCCTGAACACTCAACTCGTACGCCTTGGCCCAGAACCCCGAGCTCTGAAGCTATCCCTATTTAGCAGTCAAAATTCCAGCCCTAACCAGCCACCAAACCACAGTTCTTGCCCTGCCACCCTAAGCGCACACCCGACATCTCCGTTTACGAACATGCCAAGTGTTTGCTCTTGTAACTTTCTCCCGGACTGATCGGGCTAAGGGTCGCTACACCCCAATTTCTCTTCCAAGGTAGACACTCAGACCTTCCAAAACCCCTTAAATAAGGAATATACCCTAAATTACAATGGGAGCCCTAATATGATTTAAGGTATATCCCTTAGTTAAGGGATTTTGGAAGGTCTGGGCACCAAACACCCTCTTTTGCTCGCAGATCCTGCGCAAGCCTGAGCCTATCCCCAACAGCCGAGGCTCGTTTTTACCGTCGGTGGCGGCCCATGAAGACAGAGGTGGGTGAGGAGGCCAAGGGCGAGCTCCCATTGCTCCTGGGGCCAAGCGGTCCTTTCTGCTTGCTTTGCGAATAGTACACAGTACCCTAAGGCCCCATAGAATCCTATAATGTATTCCCAAAAAGGAACTACTTTGGGGCCTATGGGTAGAGCGAGGCCTAAACCCTCATTAAACCTTCAAAAAACGCCCAGGGCCCTGGAAACTGAACCCTAAAAATCAAACCATAAATCCTAAAACCCTGACGAAAGCCTCAAACCCCAAAACCTAGACACAAAGGTCGCTTTGCGGATGCAGGGATGCTTTTGGACTTCCTGAGCTTCGGGCTTCGGGGCCATAAGCTTTGGGGTCTGTGGTTGAGGGCTTTGGGGTTTAGGGGTTTAAGGTTTAGGGTTCAAGGGCTTCGGATTTAAGAGCTTAGGGGCTTAAGGTTTGGGGTTCAAGGGCTCAGGATTTAAGAGCTTAGGGGCTTCAGGTTTAGGGTTCCAGGGCTCAGGAGTTAAGAGCTTCGAGGTTTAAGGCGTATGGGGTTTACAGGCAAGGGTTTCAGACTTCTTCGCGGAAGTGAAGGATCTCCTTGGGCTTAGCCTTTGTTACCGTCCCATACGGTTGACCTAGGGTTCCTTAAAGGGATCTATAGGGGTGCCTTTAAGGGGCTCCCTTTAAGGGATCTATAGGGTTTTAGGGTTTGGGGTGATGATGTAAATCCTGCATTACCTTAAGGACCCGGAACTATGGGAACTATGGTAGATTCCTTAAATTATGGGTCATGCAGGATCTATATCATCAACCGTAGTGCCCCCGAACCTCCAAGTAGCCACAAAAACGAGTTCACACTGCCTGCCGAAATGCCCCTTAGATTACCTGAAGGCTCCATAGTAGTTCCTTTTTGGGGATCATATTTAGAATCCTATAAGGTAATCCCGGAAAGGAACTATTATGGAGCCTATGGGTACCTCCGAAGGAAAATCCAGACCTGCGTGCTAGGTTGAGGGCAAAACGAGAGGGCTGACCACATCCGTTTTATATTGTGTGCATGTACTTGAAGGATCATGACACTTAGTAGCTAGGGTTATAAATAAGGTAACTATACTTAAAGTTATTTATAACCTTACTTACTAAGTCCCCGGATCCTCCAAGTATGTGTCCGTACACCGCGCACATGTGCATGCACCTGACTATGCGTATACATGTGTGTCTACACAACTTGTGAATGTATGGCAGGAGGATAATGTTCAAAAACATACTTGACAGAGCATACACACATAGGTCTGTGTGTGTGTGCAAATATATGTATGTACTATATATATATATATATGTATAGAGATAGATAGTTTTCTATGTCTGTGCACGTACATGTACATTACATTTTTCTATGTACGTACGATGGAGCTGATGTGGTGCCTGAAGACAGAATATATTCTTGAGACCAGAAAATACTTAAGTGCACAGCTCGATAGCCGAGGCGCGCGGCGAATGAAAGGACACGCCCCTAAACCCTGACGAAGCAAGCCCTACAAAGCCCTACTTCGAGCCCGAACTACTCAAACCGGGAACCTGACGACCTAAACTAATACAGGGGCCGAAATAATCAGACTAGGGGTTTTGGACCCCATTATACTATTGCTATAACAAGGAACCCCAAAATTGCGGTAATTATTCAGGGCCATATCTTGGATACTGTAACTTGTGTCAACTCCACTCCCCAGTCCTCAGCGCCACAGGCAGCAACGGCGACGTTGTACACCACGACATTCCTCGGGCCCAACCTATTCGTTGAGCTTCTGAGTTGAGGGTTAAAGGATTTCTTTGTGACCATACATACACGCCCAAAGGGTCCTAATTACCTATGACATGGAGGATACCTTCCGAACATCTCCTAAGAGTTCTATAGAAACCAAGCCTTCTACTAGGTCATGTGGGTAACCAGGACCTTTTGGGACCTGTACTGAGGCTTGAAAGTCGCTTTTAGTGGTAAACGCAAGAGGTCGAATGAGGCTTTTCGGTTGGTTGAATAATAAGCGGACCTGGGCGCTGCGAACCTCGGAGCCCCTAAATCCCAGATCCGAAAACCAAACCGTAACAAAGCCCGGCGAAAGCTCCTAAACCCTAAGCCCTAAAGTCCTATAGCCCCCTACCTATAGTCTCCATTGTAGTTCCTGTTTTGGTTATATAACCAGTTTTATGGTTAGCACCCTATAATGGAGATTTCGGTTAACCAAAACAAGGAACTACAATGGAGATTATAGGTAAATCCTAATCCCCAAAACCCCTAAGCCAGTATCAACTCTCAATCCTAGGGTTTAGGGGTAACCTTTCACCTGACATGGGTCCCGCGCAGCTTCTGGTCTCTGGAGTCGGCGAGAAGCAGGAGAGCAGCCTCCTGACTGATGCAGGTAATTCTCTAAATTAGGGTCCCTGTTAAGGGTTCCTGAAAGGGAACGTACCAGAGGGGGTTTCTACGAAGGTAGTGCAGTTCTCTAAATTGGGGTCCCTTTTTGGGTTCCTTGAAGGGATCTTCAGGGTTTCTATAAACATCCTCTTAGAATTTTAGGTGGGCAGTCCTCGAAATTTTGGTTGCTTTTCAGTAGCCTACACCCTCATAGAAAAGGATTCGAAAAGGGACCCCAACTACCCATGTGCTTGCCCAAGGATCCTTCCTACCGGCATAGCACGTATCGCGACTTCGAAAACCCATAAGCTGCGCCTAAACCCTGAACTTGGGACGACTATTCCAGGATCTCCAGTACTAAAAATTAGGAACAAAAAGTAATTTTATTCATCAGGATCCTAAGACAACAAGAAGCGAAACAGGGTGTACTGGGAGACTTAGTTCATTGCCCTTTTGCACCGAACCAGAACCACAAGGTTTAGATCCACAGGGCTTTTTCGACAGAGTTGGCTTTTAAAGACGTTTACAGACTTTTAAAAACTTTCAAATGCAAGAAAAATCATTCTAAAAACTTTTAGAAGACTTTAAAAGACTTTTTGAAACTTTTAGAAGACTTTTGCAAACTTTAAAAGACTTTTCAAAACTTTAAAAGGCTTTTAAAATATTTAAAAGACTTTTAAAAACATTAAAATACATTTAAAAGCTTTAAAAATACTTTAAAAGACTTTTAAACGCTTTTAAAAGCTTTTACAAACTTTAAAAAGAATTTGAAAGACTTTTAAAGACTTTAAACAACTTTTAAAAATTTTTAAAAACTTTAAAACAAAAAAAACTAATGTTTTTTCCGAGAAGACGAGGATGAAGAAGACCTGGCACAGGGTTTACAGTTTCAGGGTCTTTAGGGTTTGGGGTTAGAAGGCAGAGTGCCATAGTATTAGGGGTTTGAGGGTAATGAAAGGGTTAGGGTTAGAGTTTCAGGGTCTTTATTATATTTAGGGTTTGGGGTTAGAAGGCAGAGTGCCATAGTATTAGGGGTTTGAGGGTAATGAAAGGGTTAGGGTTAGAGTTTCAGGGTCTTTAGTATATTTAGGGTTTGGGGTTAGAAGGCAGAGTGCCATAGTATTAGGGGTTTGAGGGTAATGAAAGGGTTAGGGTTAGAGTTTCAGGGTCTTTAGTATTTAGGGTTTGGGGTTAGAAGGCAGAGTGCCATAGTATTAGGGTTTGAGGGTAATGAAAGGGTTAGGGTTAGAGTTTCAGGGTCTTTAGTATATTTAGGGTTTGGGGTTAGAAGGCAGAGTGCCATAGTATTAGGGGTTTGAGGGTAATGAAAGGGTTAGGGTTAGAGTTTCAGGGTCTTTAGTATTTAGGGTTTGGGGTTAGCAGGCAGAGTGCCATAGTGTTAGGGTTTGAGGGTAATGAAAGGGTTAGGGTTAGAGTTTCAGGGTCTTTAGTATATTTAGGGTTTGGGGTTAGAAGGCAGAGTGCCATAGTATTAGGGGTTTGAGGGTAATGAAAGGGTTAGGGTTAGAGTTTCAGGGTCTTTAGTATATTTAGGGTTTGGGGTTAGGAGGCAGAGTGCCATAGTGTTAGGGTTTGAGGGTAATGAAAGGGTTAGGGTTAGAGTTTCAGGGTCTTTAGTATTTAGGGTTTGGGGCTAGAAGGCAGAGTGCCATAGTTTTAGGGTTTGATAGTATTAGGGATGCACAAATCGCGTGAAGTGGCTACGAACTGCTGGATGTTGCGCTTTTCTGCGTTGACCACACTGTCAAGCGAATCACGTGCAGGCGAAGCAGGGTACAGCTGGGTGACGCGACAACGTCTGGCACTCTGCCTTCCCAGCTGCTGGCACTCTGCCTTCCCGCCTCAAGATCCATTAATTATTGCCACCCCAACTTTGCACAAGCTGGTCGGTCAAAGGTATTGCTCCAGCATCAAGGTCAGGAAGTTCCCCCGGACCACCGAGACGGATGGCAACAAGTGAGAGGTGTTTCATCTGAAGGACAAACTGCCGTTGTTGTTCATCTTCGTCGTTCCAAACATAAACAAAATCACAAACGAGAGAAACGCGCGGCAACTCCAGCGGTTCTTCTCCTTCACCCACCTGATAACACTTCGGGAAGGGGCCTTCGTACCGTCGAAGAAGCCTGAGGCCTCCTGTAATGCGGGAGCCAATACGTGGCCAGTAACGCAGGTAGCGAACCATGATTTCCCAAGGCACGTCGTCATAAACTTCATTCCATCTCTCAGCTGGTTTCCACTGGTCAGGCGCTTTGGCCAATTTTTCGCAAGCGGTTTTGATCAAGATTGGGGAGAGCTCGCCTCTGAAGAAACACTCTCCTCGTTCGATCGGGGCGAAATGCATTGCTCTGGACGGCTACTGTTCAGTCACAAGCACGCACGGCTTCAAACCACATGTGCTAGTTTGTGCGGCTTCCGGGTTGTGGCACTCGAAATGATTGTCCATGTGCTTGCACGTGACAAATTCCACATGTGTGAAAATGCGAACATGCTTTCGCAATCCGTCTTCCCCAAGCAGAAACACACAGTCTCTCGGACGCATTCCAATCTAGCAGGACCCGCTGCCATCAATGCAAGCACACAGACAGACACACAACTTTTCTTTGCAGCGCAGGATGAATCCTCTAGTTGTTGCCAGGCCTCCTGGTCGGGCCACAACAGGGCCTATGGTCAATGACGTGTTGTCTGGCCTGCGCTTCTGTCATCTTGGAAGCCACACGTCCCCAGTGATAGGGTACGAGGTGGCTCCACTCGCCTTCAATGCCAGACACACATGGGTTCATGTAATGTGACACAACACACAGCAGATCAGGCAACCACATCGAAGCTATAACAAATGTTCCGAATCTTTCCAAGAGACCGCCGTCTGTCACACGAACTCGGAGAAACCATTTTGCTTTGTCAGTGCCACCAGGATTCGGGTCGTACTTCATCTCACCAGCGATCTTGGGACACTCCGGGCATTGAACAGGTGTCCATACCCCTTGGTAGTCAACACGGTTCGGCCGCCGCTGATGTTGGGGGCCACGGACTGCAACCTCCCGTGGCTCGAGTGCTGGGATAGGCACTGCAGGCACCTCCGGCATCTCAGCAGGAGGGGCTGGCACTCTGCCTTCCTCGGGCTCCACGTGATCATCAGGCTCTGGGACAGGGATTGCAGCAGGCACCTCCGGCATCTCAGCAGGAGGGGCTGGCACTCTGCCTTCCGCGGCCTCCACGTGATTATCAGGCTCCGGCTCCACCGGCACCTCAGCAGGAGGTGCTGGCACTCTGCCTTCTGCTCCCTCTTGACCACTTTCATCAGGAGGCGCGGGTTGCTTCCTGGGCAACATACGTGGGCGACAAATCTTTCTCTTGGCTTTCCGTTTGGCCTGTGGCTTGGCCTTTGCTTTGGTCTTTGCTTTGGCCTTGCCCTTTGCCTTGGCCTTTGCTTGCTGCGTCTTGATGGCCTGCCAGGTTTGATGCACCCTTTTGATTCTGCGTTTTCTGACTGCGTCTGAGACCATTTTAAATTCCTGTTTGTCCTCAGCAAGCAGGTCGTCAAGAACCAGCTCATCAACAAAGTCCCCCATGATAATGTCATCCTCATCCTCATCCTCTGTTGAATCTTTGGCTGTCGAATACATAGCCTCAATTTTGCGCATGAAATCCTCATCTTCCGGAAGGTGATGAGAAGCGATCAGGCTCATGAGCTTTGGACGGCGCATTCGTTGCAGCTCCTTTCGCTTTTTTTCGTCTACGTTTCCAGTCTGGGAGATCACATGCTCGGCGAGATTCTGGCAGTCTGCGAGAGTCCGACATGCTTGTGACATTTCCCTCAGTCGAGTCAGCAAAAACAAGCACAGCAAAACTTATATAAGTTTATTGTACTATTTACTGTATGGGTCGACAGTTGACAGAATCCTAAATGAAAACATGTCACTTGGGATGCTGCAACATATAGGATAGAAGTGACACTGAGCTTGTAGCACAACGACGGAGGCAAATGAAGCCATTCCAGAAGACTGCCTCTGTTTCGATGACTTCCCAATACTGGGGCTCATACAAATGAATCCAGCAGGCCTTGACGCTGGAACCATCCGGGCACTCTGCCTTCAAAACAAAATATATCTCTCCTGTCGACTGGTCCTCATGCTGGACCACTGGCCACATGAGAGCAGCCCAGGTTTTTGCCCCAAGAGAGAGATAGCATGTCAAATCCAAGACATGGTTCAAGATCTTCAAAGGGGCTGCAAGGCTGCTAAACTTCCCAGCACGCAAGGGAACATGCTGAGATGCCAGTCTTGCATCATTGTAGTGAATTAGCCATGACCACGCAGCTGATGCTCGTTCGAGTGTCTCTTCTGACAGGGTGTTCCATGTCTTGTCGCCGACAATCTCGGTATACTGTGACGGCAGCTTGTGGACACATCCTCTGAAGCACAACTTTTGGCGCTTCCTGTCCACATTCCAAAACTCCCTTTCAAAATATTCCCGTTTGACTTTTGCCGGATGCCTGATTGAACGGCTTTCAAAGACGTTTGAATTCTCGATCACAGTTTGAATCGTGGAGTATGTTTGCTTGCGGGTTTTGTTCAACAAAGAATCATTACGAATCTTGTTGTGCACATCTTCCACAATCTTGTTGTCTGGCAGCGTCTGCACCAGAACACTCAGCAGGTGGGTTGCAGGGCATGCTGGTACCGATATTGTTACAGTCCTTTGAGCTGGCACTCTGCCCTCTTGCCCGTCTAACAAAATGTCACCAACTCCGGCACCGTCATCTGCTTCTTCAGGCACAGAATCCTCCATCTCCCCGTCCTGCTCTGTGTCAACATCATCCACGACAATGTCTTCTGACCCCGGAGGCGCCACTTCATATCCCTGTGCCTCCAATGTGTCCAGAAAAAGTCTCGAAGGATGGCTGATTCCAACTTGCAGGTCTGTGAAGAGTTGCCGGGCATGAACACTTGGAGTGGACCGTGCCAATGTCG